TTAATTGAATAACGACTTTTTTGCGCGAAGCGCGGCACGAGCGCAGCGAGGGCACCCGGCGGTAGCCGGGCCCGTGCGATAGCACGGTAGGGCAAAATGAAGTCTTAACAAGGTGTTCCGGCGTGCGTAGCGCGTCCGGAAGGGTCGGGAAGGGTCGGGAAGTGTCGAATTCGGTTAAGTACGAGTGGCAGGTCAATGTCGTGATTTTTGACTTGGTGTTTGTAACAACGTTACAAAGTGCGGTAGCGTACTGAACTGAGTCGCGCGCAGCGCGCCACGAGCGAAGCGAGTCGACCCGGCGTATCCGGGTCCTGCGCGTTAGCGCAAACCACGAGCGTAGCGAGTGCACCCGGCGATAGCCGAGGTCCGCGCGGTAGCGCGGTAGAGATACATGCCATGCGCGAGCGTAGCGATTGCATGTGCCATCGATGCGCGCAGCGCTAACCCCGAGAGTAGCGTGGGCACTTGCGATAGTGCACGGCAGTGTGGTAGGATACTGCGCGCGATAGCGCAATGTACGAGCGTAGCGAGTGCATTTGGTATCGTTGGGGCCTGCGCGAAAGCGCGTGACCTCAATACGACGCATGGTGTTAGATCAATGAGTTTGTTCGCGATGTTAGAATCGTATCTGGATGTTACGGTTGCCTTGCAGGTTTCTATCGCAATCCGCGCGTCAAGCACAGAATAGGAGACTCGGCCATGGAGAGGCCGAGCGTGTCGGGGCGCAGCGCGTGCGGTAGTCGCAGCAGCGCCATGCTGCGAGCGCAGCGGCAGTAGCGACTGCGTTCGATGTGACCAAGGACCTAAAGCGGAAAATCGACGCGGGGCAGAGGCGACGGCAGCGAACCAAGGCGTCGACCGTGACCGCCACTGCGCCTCCAGGCGAAGCGCGCGCGTCGAGCGGCCGCGCCCGTCACAGTAGAATCGCTGGGCCTGCAAATCCGAGAAGCGATTCTTTCAACCACCTCATGAACGTTATACATCCTGCAATGTTGATCAAGCTGCTGTGGCCTCCATGCATGAAGCGTCTGCTATGCAGTATTGGACCCGAGTGCCGAAACGATGCGAAGGTTGAAGCGGCTAAGAAAGAGCCCTTCCTGGCGACGGCTTTAACAATAACAATCCACATCTAAGCGAGATTGGGACGATGCACCAACATCACCGCACAATGGAAAATGAATTTGACGTTGATACCACTGGAGCCCTACAAAGAATCCACCAGGTGCACCGTAGCACAGCGGAGGTTGCACCGCAGTGTCGTTTCCGGGTGACGGCCGGTAGCGGCCCGCCTGGCACCGCAACGAAGCGGAGGTCGCATCCGTCGCACACGTCCGTCACACATTCGCCATGTGAATGCATGTTTGCAGTAGGAAGGGTGCGTTGGACGTGCATGGTACAAGAGCCCGTGAGGGTGGAAGGCATTCACACTGTCCAAGCTACGACACAGACATACCGCTAGGTTGCACGCGGCCCCAAAACCAAATTGGAATCAAAAAGCTCGATGGCACTCTGTTCAAACCTTCTACAGTGCAGTGGTTTGATTCGTGTAGAATCTACACGAATCAAACCACTGCGCAGAAAAACCGCTGGATGGCCCACCGGCACTATGCCCCACCTCAACCAGAAAGACCAACCACACCCTGCCCCAAGAAAACCCGAGGTTTGGGGCAGGTACGTTGAAACTCAATGCACATGACCCCGTCCACCGACGAGTCCAAACTACGTCACACGTAGTACACGATCCCTCCGCTAGATTGCACGCTACCCCAATGCAAAACCTCAACCAAAGAGCTCGACCAAAACCTGCCCTAAGAAAACACGAGGTTATATGAACGTGTTTCGCGTTATCTTCATAGTTACACAAAGACTTCGCATACGTAGAGACTAGCAATCTCCTTCTTCTTCATTCGCTCGACACGAGGTTAACCCTAGTATTTTTGTTAAGGAAAAACCACTTTTTCGTTAAGAAGTGACGCCTTTTGGATCCAAAGTGATTATTTTGACTGTGCTTATATTTTGTTAAGTACGGTATTTGCCATTTGCACACAAATTCTTAAAGAATGAGATGACCAGTGAATCGACGCACGTACTGAAGCTTTTATATCACTACCGACGCTCCAGCCGTGGTGCGTCTCGTACGCCCGCGCGTATCTCGGCGAAGGGCGATCGTCGACAAGAACTCGGCCACCCAGCCCGCGACGGTTCGCGCTGTGTAGCGCTCTTGAAGACCGTACGCTCGGAGCGCCTCGTCTGCGCAGTCGAGCCGTGTCCGCACGGGGCAAGGCTCACACATGGCGACGCCGTTGTTTGCAAGATCTTCTCGGTGCATCTCGAGGCTTGCCGTGTCGATCTCGTGAAGACTTTGAAGCACGTTCAGCACCAGTAGCCCTTGGTGGCGCGCGCGCACCTTCTGCGGCTCTGTCAAGTACGTCGCGAGGTCGACTTGGCCGTCACCGTCGTCGGTCGGAGGGAGCTTGCAGAGCTCAAACATGCGGCCATCAATCTGCAGATGCTGGAGCGTCTGAATGTGCGCGCGGTGCAAGCGTACGCGGGCCTCAAGAAGCGGGATATGATGATTGAGGTACTTGATCTGTCGCGATGTGCACGCGCATCGAGTGGCCCGCCGTACGCGCTATCGAGCTCGAATCGCAACGCGTCGGGGATGTCGTCGGGCATGCGCACCGCGGCCAAGGGGAGCGCGACTGCCCATTACGCCACGTCATGCGCTTCAAGCCAAGGATGCGGCGGCAGACGCTAAACGATGCTTTCGTCGCGCTGGGCTCGTCTGGATTCTGCAAGGCGAGAAGGTCCGCGACTGCAACCTCCCTTGTCAAATGCCGGCGCCCACAGCGCATGGTGCCATCCGGCTTGTAAACTCACGCACGGTAATGACCCGATGCGCCTTCCTGCGTAATCGAGCCGGTTTGGCGAGGGGCCCGCTCCTCGGCTGTCCCGGGGTCTGTCCAAGCACCGCCAAACTTGAGTCGGCCAGACAGCACAGCCTCGCCATGCGTGCTCACATACGCGCCATACCACTTCTCGATCTTGCCATATTTCACCTCGGAGATATACGGCCGGAACTTGCACTTCTTGGAGCAGTACGTGACCTTCCTTGCATTTGCTCGCCATCTCAAAAGACAAAATCATTAGTCAGCTTTTTTATCCGGTAATGATGGCGAATTTAGCAGTAAGGGCCCCCGAGTGTACTGGTATGTGGCCGACCGTCGATGCATCGAGTGCAAAGAGGGCTACAGCCATCTTGTCGCGACCGCTGCTGCTAAGACCGACGCACGCCGGGCGTCGTCGATGTGGTCACATGCGTCGTCAAGCCGTCAGCCAAGCAGGCTCGCGCCCCGATACAGACACAGCATTGGAGCATTGACACATTTAACGACCGGCAAGATGCTATACCATGCAGCATGCCATCGACTCTCGATGGCTTTGCATAGGAGTCGTCTAAGGTCTCGCGAGATTGCACATCAATGACCTCCAACGCGATACCATGTGTTGGCGCCGTTTCGTCTTGCCAAATTCAAATTATCCGGATTTGTACTTCATATCCGGATTGGACATTTCCACGCCGCAACAACTCGCCGCATCGTGATCCAGCATGATGATGGATGATTCCTTTGCCAGCGACGACGATGATATGCATGGGATCCTCAGCGCGATCGGACTCGGGACGACGGCGAAGCGACCGCTGCCGCCACCGACGGCGCCGGTACGATCAGCTCCCAAGGTCGACCTTGTCCTGAGTGCGCCTAGGACCTGCCCCTCGCGCGATCCACGGCAAGCACCGGGAAACGCACGGCGACGACCGATGCAATCGTTGATCTGTCCGAGTCGCCGGTCGTGCCCAAGCGTCCGCGACCAGCGCGTGTCGCTGCCGACCTTCCAGTCCTGGGCGGGCCTTGCCTGCGAGACAAGCCAACGCCCGTCATTTCCGAGCCAAGGCTGGCAGCCACAAACTCCTTACACACAAGAGCCACGAGTCCCGTGCAAGCAGCGAATTATACAGCAGCAGTGGTCGCAAGCCCGCAACGAGCGGTTGTCAGCTCCATGCGAGCACCCGCCTTTCCGCATGCGTCGCCTCCATCGGCCTTGAACGAAGCTGTGATCGACATCATGTCAGACTCGTCCGACAGTGACGATGCACTGGATGTTCCTCTCCGCGATCGCTTGCTCGCACAGCGCCGCCCCGCGCCGCCACAGCCCGTCGACGAAGCCGATACCAATGGTTTGGATGCCTCCATCATCAGCATCAACACCAACACCGACGACGAAGACGCCCCGTGCGTTCCTGCGCCACCGCCTGTCTCTCCTCATCGTGCTGGACTCTCTTCGCCCGTCGATGTGGTGGCCCTCGAGGACGACGACGGTGGTGACGAGTACGCAGTGATGCTGGCGTCGCCACGCTCGGCGCCTCCGTCTCAGCAAGTCACCTCGCCTGTCTACGACCTCGTCGACAGTGACGACGACAACTTGCTACCCCCAAGTTATATGACATCGTCCCAACGCTCCACTGCGTCCGTGCAGGACATGATCAATGTCGACGCAAGCGAGGACGAGTATGCATATGCTTACATGGACCACAACCCGTATGCACTGACGTACTCGCCGCCGTCGTCGCCACTCTTTAGCAGTGCTCTTTTCGATCGCCCGATCCCGCGGTACACGCCGCCGCGCGCAGCGTGCCCACCACCCGTCGCTGCACCGCCAACAAGCGCCCATCTTGGTCCTACCGAGCCTCAGGCTCCTCCCGCAGCGCGGGCTCACAAAGCCAAAGCCAAAGCCAAAGCCACCAAGTCGCCGGCCAAGCCGCGGAAACCCAAGCCGCAAGTGCACGTGTACCTCGAAGAATCGCTCTTTGACGCCGACGTCGGCGAGAAGATGTATACGGCGCTCGTCAACCACACGACCGCGAGCAAACCGACGCCCTTTGGGTGCTACGTCACGGACGCTAGCACCGTGTCCCATGTCGTGCCCAAGAGCATCATGTGGCGCGATGCAAGCACCATGGTCCCGATGGCCTGTGTCTACTTGTCGGCCGCCGACTTTATACACGCGATCGCGACAGAGTATGCATCCGTGTACGACCACATTGTCAAGCTCCGGCAACAAGTGTCGGACCCGTACGCGCGCACGTTCTTTCTGGTCGAGGGGCTCGAGAAGGCCCTCGTCGTGCACCAGCGCGCCCGGCAACGCCAGGTACGAGCGAGTCCTTCGTTTCTGTCGCTGACGACGGGTCATTAGGGCCACGGGATGCGACCAATGACGTTTGCTGATGTGCACAACGCTGTCGTCCACCTCTTTGTCAACTCATTTTGCCACATTCATGTACACGGGATGGATGGACGCGTCTCGTAGTGACCTATGCGATAGTTTGCAGCGACGCCCGACGACAGCGCGGCGTACGTCTTGTCGCTAACCCGCGAGATCGCCGCTTTGCCATCGACGTATGTTGAGGCCCATTGTGGACAAGTTGTCATATCTGTTAGGCCACCCAATGATTTTTTGTCGCATGTTCCTCGCCTCACGTCGGTCCGTGCGACGACCAATGGCGGTGCGTGGACGACTGGACGGTCACAGTCTCATGACGAGTAGACACCTCGAACGAGCTTGCCAATGCGTGGCTGCGGATGCTCGAGATGGTAGCCAAGATCACCATTGTACATGTGGTTGCTGGACACGACGGTAGATCCCGGGCATGAGCCCGGAGATGGCGCAGCGCCTTCTCGACTACTACCCGACGATCGACTCGCTCATGACCGTGTACGTCAACCCGAACGTACCGGTCAAAGTCAAGGAGCTACTGCTGGCGGTGCGCCCCTGTATGCCTATGGTGTCTCTCAATGTCGATTCGGCCATTGATTAGGACAAGCTAGTCGCCACCAGGGCATCCAAGGTCCTCTCCAAGCGCATTTTTGCCATCTTTACGTCGCCCAACCCGCGCGCCATCGCCTTATAAGCACGCTAACATAGGGCTACATGCGACCCGTGTTTATATCGCAGCTGCAGCTGTCGAGGGATGGTCCGTCGATGGCGGAGGGACTTCAACGTGTGGCTTTTATGCAGTCACCTGGAGGCTAGGCATCCGTTGCCGCAGCAGGGCAGTCGCCCATGCGAAATGTACCTCGCCTATCGACGCCATGATGCCCAGCCCATCGATCGTCTTCATTGGCCCAGCTCGCATGGCTAGGTCGTCGGCGACGAAGTCGTAAGTAGGCCCCACAGCCGCGTCGCTGGGACATGGACCCGGCGGCAAGATTTATCTTCGGAAGGTATTTGCGGTCAATCCGGATAGGCCGGATACGGAGATGGTGAGAAACACACGGAGGGTTTTGCGCACATACGTATATAGTGTATGATCTTACTTGTGGGACGCGTAGAGAACAAAAAGAGGTC